ATCACTCCTGTCTGTCTGTCGTTCCGTTTTTTTTTGCCCAAAATGCATTTGTATACACGGATGTAAATAGCATATGCTACTTAGACTTAATAAATCGACACTGAATCTTCTCTCATAGAGGGAAATCTTGAAATATAACCCCCTTTATAAACGAATAAGTGAAGTCAAACTCTAGATTAAAACATATACAAGCATAAACATTTACAACTGCAATAACAATAATTTTCTATGGTAATAACTTGGGGCTTTGGAAGCGGATGAAGTCGCAAGAAATACAAATAAAATAAACAATTTAAAAAAAAAAATCAGAAAAAATAAATAAATTTGACATCATTCTAAATGGCAACAGCATCTCATCTCTATTTTTTTTTTTTTTTCGTTTATTCCCATCTGCCATTTCTGAAATGCGTGGGGAGGGGAGAATGTGGTTTTAGAGGTATAATCCTATTTTAATCAGAGTGGGAAGGTCGAGATTCATTCTGTATGTTCCCTACGAAATAAATTTCAAGCAGCCCAAGTCGGATTCGAACTGCCGGTAGACTCGAGAATGTTAAAGCAGGCAAGAATGTGAATTTGGGAAATATACTAACAACAATGTGCGTTTGTTGTAAGTATATTTGATATATAAAAGAGTCATGGTAGAAAAATTATTTATTCTGTGTCATCGGCTGTGGGGCGACCCTGTGCTAAAGAGACCCTCCCGGAGCATCCTCAGCCTTTACATAGTGGGTATCCTTAATTAAAATAATTAATTAAGGAATGAAACCTGGGGTTGAGAGTGATCCTGGCCCGGATTGCTTGCTCCTTGTACAACCATTGACTAAGAAACTGTACTTTCCCTAAACAGTACCGAACCCTGGGTTAACAGTCCCTTCATGAGTTGCAGTAGTACAGGTCTTTTTATCGATAAATAGGATCAAAATTAATAAAAACGTTCTTAAAGGCCAGTTCCATCAATAACGTACTTAGTGATGTTTTGTAATAAACTGACGATATATTTCGAATTCGATGTGGAAGAAATGCCTATCATTTGGATAAAGGACCTCTTTTTATCGTATAATATATTATAAAAGTCTTTGCTTCATTTTATCGCATTATGCTACCAAAGCCTGTAACGGATTCATGATTTAATTTAGATGATTAGGTTTTTTATTTAAAAAAAGTTAATCACGCTGGGCTAAAATGATAGGAAATATATGAAATGATGTTTAAATGGTTGTTGAATACCAGTTGAAGAAACACAAATTAAACAAAATAACAATAACTACGGAAACAATAATAATTAAGGTAATATATTTTTCTTGACAGAAGTTTATTATTAAGTGCAGAGAAAGCATTATTATTTTTTAAATCCTTAGGTCAGATCACTCACAGAAACAAATATGAGTCGATAAAAAAAAAAAAAAAAATATATATATATATTCAACATGAAGGCCCTTCCTACATTTTTAATAATAACTATTTTGAACTGAATGGTACAGGAGGTATTCAGTCATCTAATTAGGCCACTAAAAAAATTAAAAGCCTTCTAAAGTAGCGAACTGACCGAAATTTATTGGTTTAAAAGGCATAAGGTAACGTTAGTCATATTCCTTAATTTCTCTATGAATGAATTATTTTTAAGAACGAATCAATTATGTAATTTTAATTTTAGTAACAAAACGTAAACCACATACATTTTCCAGTCAGTTAATCATTAATTAATACGAGATGATCTTTCGTTATCTGCTTTGCGTGCCGACTCTGATGTTTCGTCTAGAACCTCAACCAGTGTAAACATTCGGCCTCATTACTATCGCCATCTCGTACGAAGTAAACTTACAATCTCTCGTACAACATATTTATCAATTAGGTTCCCATTTTTATATTTTGAGATCAAGCATAAGTGATTTAAGTTATTAATTCGTCTTAACATAACTCATTTTGAGATAAAAATTCGTAAGTAGAAAATGTTAGAACAAAACTAAACCAAATTTTCAAATGTTGCAGTTTTTCATGTGATTTACAAGTATACAATTCCATATTAAATGATGTGTACGCATAGTTCTTAAAACAATTCTATTTTCGGACGTAAATGTAAATAAATTCGATTTGAATATACTATGATATAATAATAATAATAATAATATATATTATTCTGAATAAGTTATATTAATTTCACTCATAATTTAAGATTACATAATTCATCTAAAATTATCAAAATACATATGTTTCCAGTTGAAGATTTTTTACTGACCTAATAGCATATTTTTAAGGAGTGTTAATGGAATTTTATATAGAGATTTTAGTATATATCCAAGATATGTACGTATTTATTACATATTAATGAAATTGCCGGCCTTAGACATTTGGCACCTACGTGCAATAACGTGTTTTTCCTCTTCCTAAAAAAATAAATATGTTTCTTAAGCTGTTTTATATTATAGAATATTTGGATTTTATTTCATTCAACATTTCTCTAATACAGTTGATTCGTATAGGCTCCTTTTGAACCTATACGATTCCTTTATAGGCTAAACCTAATTATTTTAATACGTTTTATATTATTTTTTTAATTCTAAGAAGCCCTGATGATCAGCCGGCGTCCCCAGAGGGCGTCCCTTCAGGTAGTTAAGGTAATTATCCTTGTTGCCCCACCCCGGGGCCGGCACTGATTATTGATTAAATTTATATAGTAATGCCCGTAGTATAATTAAGTCAAATTTCTACGACTATTCAGAATAAAAGTTGGTTTAAGGATGGTGTGTATTGTTACACTTTATCTCGAATAGTAAAATTTTCAATCTAATAAAATCTTGCAACTGAGACCAAAACATTGGTAAAAATTAAAAATTAGTTTATCTAAGTATTTTCCTTCTTCACTCCTCCACCGACTAATTTCTGGTTGAATTAATTATTACCATTTAGAAAATGAAAATAAAATTATAAAAATAAAGGCATTCTCCAAGTCCGATTACGTCCAATTTAGTCCGACGATCCAATTACGAATCACGCCTTCCTTTAATTAATATAGTATTATTTGAATTTTAAATAGTCAAATTTAAATTTGTGAAGGATAGGTATAATTATTATGTTATAATAGATATGATTGTAATCAGATACCGACCGATCCCGTTCGAAAGTCGCGCAATAACCAGATCCATTTATAAGAGTCATTAATTTGGAACGATCGTTTCCTTGGCAATCACAACAGATACAAATCAGAGCGTTTTAATTTCAAAAGCCTTCGCCGATGCTTCTATGACTTAAATAACAATTAAAATATCAATTAACGAGAATATACAGGTTGCTATAACAAATATATAAATAAAAATGACTACCACGTTTATTGAACGTTATTATATATCAGAGTAACTTCCTCTGGAAACAACTAATAAAAACCACAAAGGTTTAAAAAAAATATGATAGATCCGGTCTCTGATTCCGACATTTAATTTTAACCTCAATGATGAACACTTTGATGGTATGTCTTTGAAGTCAAGGAACATTGCCTATCTGTGAACCAGGAAAATATTATTGCGTATGCTAAAGCGAAAGTTTACAGAAACTGATAGAATTTACACTGAATAATTTTTGCAATGATTACCATATTTCTCCTAATGTTGAGCAAAATGGAGAAAGCCATTTTTAAAATCTAGATATATCAAGGAACTAGTGTGAAACATCAACAGAATTGTTCAATCTTTATTTTTGAGTATCTTTCGATTATAGCGGTTATTGTTGTTCTATTAATTATATGTAAACATTGTTCCACTCTCTTGAAAGAGAATGGAGAAAGTTATTACATTTTATTCCAAACCCAGCTAACGATATGGAATGGTACAGTTAATAACATAATTAAACTGTATCTCCTGGAAATATGGAATTCGTTCTTGTTGGGCAAATGTTTACCATATCGTTACGGGGCTTTAATTTTGGAAAAAATTGTTATTAGTCCGCGTTTCTTTCTGTTGAGATATTAAAAAAATAATGAATTTAAAATTATTTAAATTAGGTATAGATCAATTTTTCAGCATTATTTTAATACTAATTATATAGTCCGTGGTAAAGACCCCTTTTTATCGAATTATTAACATCCGCCTGAAACTTCTTAAATAGTTTCATCTCATCATAACCTACAACTATTTTATTTATGAAAACTCTTAGATTCGGGGCGTTGTCAATTTGGGGAGGGAGGAGAGGCAAACTTTGTCTATTTAATTACAAACTGAAAACTCGTAAATACCCATTTGCTTTCTTCTTGGATCGTAAGATAATTTGATCACGAAATCGATAAAAAAAGGTGGCCTACAAAAATATTGGGCCGTTTGTCCTATATAACCTCGTTATTTTGAAATTTTGGGGGTGTAGGTCGCGCCAAGGCTCAATATTTTTAAAGGCAACATTTTTACTAATACCAAATTACAGACTAATAAATTAACACATTTATAGTAGATACCGCAATAATAAATGCTAATGAAAATACAGAGATTTATCTGAAAATAATTAAAAGTTTTTGGAAATATTCAGCGGAATGGGCGTATAACATGATATATTATGATGTATTCATCATTTAAATACTCAGGAATTTTATATTGTCAGATTGGTCAAATAAAATAACACGTCGCCGCCCCGCTGCAACAAAACCCTCCGCCCAACCCATACAAAAAACAAAAACAACCCCGAGACACAAACCCAGACACCCCCCGATACTCCAACTAAAACCTAGACAATACCACTAAAACCTAGAAAATACACTTAAACAAATAGTAATACACACACCCTCATAAAACCACAAAAAAACAAAAACATAACAACAACTACTTCCTGTGCACCCACAATACAAAATCGTCCCCCACAAATGAAAACAACACCCTTTCCAACCGACTATAAAACCACCCGCGCGCCACCCTGATACAAAACAACACACACACATCCCCCTCCCAGCCTGAATCCCCACCCCAAAAAAAAACAAAAAAACAAACAACCAACACTGCCACCAAACCCACAACAGTCCCCCAATGTTCACCATAACCACTACCTCACCGCCACCCAACCCCCAAACACATACCCCCGCCCCCCAACACCCTACACCCCCTCCTCCCACCCCCTCACTCAAAACACCGCCCCCCCCCAAACCCCCCAGTCCCAACCCCCACTGGCACCGCACCACACCAAATGTCACCCTCAGAACACCCACCACATGGCCGCCAAACCCAACCGAGCGATACCCCAATGTAACCCCCACCAGTTAAGTAAATCCAATAAGTCCACTCCAGAAAAATTCGGGGAGAACTATGGATATATATATATACTACACTACTGCCACCGACTCACCATAAAGATTTAAAGGAAGGATACACTATTATCCGATGTTTGCTCGCTCGGGCCGGACTCGAAGCAACACCCGCTCATTCCTCTTATCTATCGACACCTTATTATATCGAAGGCAGGTAGGTTAGCAATTATCAGATAATATCGAGCTACCGCCGGCTCGCTTTGTAATTAGAGTGTATTCTGGAGCCAGCGGGGGCCTGTAAACTGCTTAGCCAATCGGTAATGGCTTTCTGATGGATGTTTTCCCTCTTGGCCAACATGTCAATGCTCAATAATTTCAAAGAAACTAAAAAGGTTAATTTGGTTTTGATAACGTAATTATTGAGAGGTTTTAAAAGTGGGTAAATATATTTATAACACTACTAAAGTATCAATATGCATAGTTTTTTAAAAAAAAATTTATTAAGTAATACAACAATCTGTCTCTTGAACATTGGTTATAGTGAGGTAGGATAACATTCACACTATATGTAAAAAAAATATAAAATAAATAGAAGCAAAATAATAATCAAGAGTATAAACAAAAATAATAAACTAAAACAACCTAAAGATAAGAAAATTAAAACTAAGCAAAAAAACACATGCATACACTATTTACAATCAGGCGAGGGAACCCAAGGATAACCCTGCTGTACTCTCTCAACCGCATCACTCTTACTGAAGCTAGCTGAGATTGATCGAGAGCACTTAAGCCACATACACTCATGTCTTGAGTGGAGAATCTGGCCATTGCCAGAACTCCTATATAAACAATCTACAAAAGGTCTCGAGGCCACTGTCGTTTCAACCTTCTTAGAGGATTATAGGGATGGGTGGTGCTTGATAGGGATTGTGCAAGAGGATTTGGATGGTACGTAAGGTTCTTGTGAAATTCGGAGAATTTTTCTGGGGTAAGGTCTAGGACAAATGGGATGTTGGGGTCATGGTTACATAGGGGATTGGCAAAGGGTTATGCTGGTTACATAGAAAGGACCATCGACTATTGTTCGAAGAACTTTTCACTGGAAGGATTGGATGCGCTTGATGTTAGAAAATTTTGCTGTTCCCCGCAGTTATAGTCCTTATAGTCAGCACTGTCTTTTAGATCAGTAGCTTGTTTTCAATGGAAAGTTTAGATTTTGTGTTTAGTGATCGGTATAGTTTGCCGTATCGTCGGTTTAGTTCCTGTTTTATAAGTCTAGTCTGAGGGTTTCAGGTTAGTCGTCGGTCTAAGAGAATATGCATAGTAATGTTTCTTTTCTTTTTTTCTGCCAATTTCTTTATTACTTTGCATCAATGTATATACTATGTAGTCTTTCTGAGGTTGTGAATTAATATTATTAAAAAAAAAAAATTCTTTATAGATAAAGTGTTGCCAAAAATAGACCTTGGTCTTGCGAAATGCAATCATCTAATTTTTGCGAGATCAATGAAATGAATAAAAATTAAGGCAAAATAGTTACTAATACTATACAATTTTAGTTACTGTATGTAAAGAATAGGTAGATCCAATATACTTTTGTATTTAACTCTTCCATTTTTTCATTTGGGGTTCAGTTAGGTTTTCCATTCTGCAAAATGACAGTAATAAAATTGAGAAAAAAATGTTTAAAAGCGGTAGGAATCTCATGTCATAATAGGACAGACCAATCATTTTATTTAGATAATTGGTAACATTGTATACGAGTAGATTATCTTTACTCTACACCTCTTCCATTCCAAAGTGTATCGCCATCTCTATTGACAATGTGTTTAATGTATTGTCATGTTAATTGTATTAATTTGATTGGACTATGTTTACGTCAATAAAAGATCTAATGTTCCTATTCTGTAGCGTTTTTCTAAGATTTGAAGTAATATGTTTAATAGATAGCAATAACCTAATAGATAACAGCCAGACTCTTACGCAAGACCAAGACTGTGTGCGTGAGACCAAGACTCTTCTTAGTCTTGTATTTGGGCAGCACTAGTTATACATAACCCTTAAATAAATAAAAACTTAATAAACATCATCAAATGTTTGTGTTTTAAAAAGTATTGGACAAGAGATAATTATTAAGAACGATTTAATATACTATCTAAGGAATATTTCAACTACTCCCTAGTAATTTTCGACAATAATGAAATCCAATTAGATTTCATTAATAGTAACTTCAACAAAAATGATTCTCTTTTAAAAGAAAATAATAAATATTTTTTACAATATATTTGCAACGCATCAAGCAAATGTGATCTATTTTTTTGCTAGATAGAAGATCACTGGTCGGTCCACTGTCCATTAATTAACACGTGCTTTTTCAATCCGCATAGAACGGCTTGAAACATACAGCCAAAGTACCATTAATAGTTCTTAAACTATATCAGAATGGTAAATAGCGTAGTATTGCTTTTTGAATAAATTATATCAACTTAAAATTATAAGTTGAATTGTTTTCGAAAATAAATGAATATAATGAAGTAAGATAAGCTTCATCTATTTTAGTTCATGGCGCCAAATGAGAAGATCAGAGTCCAGAAATAATTAAATATTAAAACGTAACGATGATTGAAATAATAGGGTAGAATATTTAGAATTTATGACAAACAAAAAAATCTAAAATCTGTTCTGAAATTAAGTTTATCAAGACTGGTTTTCGTTAGAATTCGGTTCAACATATTAAATCCAGTGTTTTTTTTTTAACTTTTTTAAAGTCTTAAAAATTTATAAATGTGATAAGTTCTTCAATAAGCTTCATAAAAATCTATTTAATGATTTCCAATTGAATGAAACTGATTGAATTAATTTAACTCTAGATTTTTCCAACTGTGAAGTTCAGGATAAGAAAGAATATTTCATGAGTATATAAAAATCATGGCATGGCAGGTCTACTTGAGAATATCGGACTTGAGGCCTCAAAACGGGAAAATATACATATTTTTTTCATTGGCCCATGTTTGTTTCTGTGAGCGATAAATATTGGCTTAATATTTCCACAATCAAAATATGTACTTAAAAAAAAAAAACAGGAAAAAAAACAAGGGTGACAAATAATCAGGACGCAGTCTTTTTTTTATAAAATAATTTAATTTTTTATTTATGCCAACGTTGTGGGTCATCTTCAGGGCTGAATTATTTTTTTAAATAAAAACGTTGCCATAAATATAAAATTAATTTTTTTTTTAAATCTTTTTTCTGGGGAGTTTATTTTTAGTTATTTGGCAATAATAACTTCCAATTGGTAACAATTGAGTATATTTTTATTATCAATGTTACATGTTAACAAGTTAGTTGATGTTTCGGGATATTTATTCCCATATTTGGAACTGCAATCCCAATACTCTTGTGGATGCAAGGCTTAAATTTAATAATGATGTGCTCCATCGTCAAATTTCTAATTCATGTTCTAAAATGTATCATATAGAGCAACATCCTCCTTTTTTTTTGTAATTATATTTTATAAATTATTTTATAAAAAAAGACTTTGTCCTGTTTATTTACCACCCTTGATATGTAGAATAGACGACTAACTTCTTTAAATAAACAAAAAAACAAATAAACAAGCTTCCCCAAATTAAATTCTGGATCCGCTACTGGTCCAATGATTACTATCAAAATTCTTAGAAATTACAGCATACAGATTTATAATCGAGATGAGTACGGGCTTTTTTGAAAATCGTGACAACGCATATGAACACAGTTTATATTTTCCTCACAAAAACAACTTATTTAGTTAAAATTAAAATTAAAAAAAAATTAAAATACAAATTAAAAAGTTAAAAGAGGGTTATAGTTGACCGTAGCGGTAGGTGGAGGCTAAGTATCAATAACAGGCGGTGATTGATTGGTTAGTTAAGCCGCTATCAGATGATTGATCTCTCCGCCGGTAGCCTGTCCTGATTGATCTCAACAACTTACAACCACATTACACCGCCCTACAGGGCCCTACGTCCCGGCCCTTCCTATAGCTCCCCAGTTAATTTATTAAATTAATAACTCCCTTGTTCCCTCAATGATCCGAGGTGGTAATAGGGAGCCCTCCTCTCGTGGGCGTAGCCGGGGCTTATAATGTAGTTCGTGTTACGCGTGAGCCGCGCTAAACGGCCCAGCCTTCTAGATCGTATTAAGAATTAACTATAACCCAGAGCCGCCTGGTGCGAGTTAATTATTTAGGAGGCAGGAAGTGCTAATGCCCACCGATTAGCGCATTCGATAGGACTACACTCCTCGTCGAGCAACTCGATCTATAGTCGCTATCGATTATTGAACTTGTGTCAATCCGATGGTTGGAAATACCTAATTACTGCGCTGTCATGCTCTCTTCCTAAATTATCTATGATTGGTCACCATTATATATTTAGATACAAAGTATGTGCGCATGAATATACCGACATGAGATTCATTCGCAATTCAATATACGCCTTGGATTTATTTTTGTTATTGAAATTAACAACTGTATAATGATAAACACAACTAGTAAATATGAAATAAGTAACTTGAAAAGTAAAACATGAAGAGAAACTACCCATTCGTAGCACTCCAATTATATTTCTATATTAGAAGGTCCCGAAGCCTCTTCTTTTCAGACGCCTCGGAGAGTTATCAGGAATAGAAGAGAAAGCAAGGTTGGAAACAAGAGGGTTCTGATGGTTCAAAAGTTTATTATGGAAGGATAGGTATCTGAATTGAGCTAAATCGGAAACATATGGTACATTAAGGTCGTTATGGATGATTTTATTTGTTACAATGTAGAGCGCATAGGGGATTTTGGATTGCAGGGTTTGGATACGAGAGGAATTTGATGGTTTAGTAGAGCCCCAAAGCTCGATCCCGTAAGTCCAAATAGACCTTACTATAGTAATATATATGAATCTTTTGTAAATAGTGGGAAGTTTAGAGAGTTTGTCTAGTAAGTGCTGTAGTAGTCGAAAAGTCGTTTCAGTCTGTTTAAAGTAAGCATGA